CGAAGTTACTATTAACCATCTTTCTTATGCGTTTTTAACGGTATGACCCTCTTGTGATAACGGAACCCAATCACATGAACCACTTTGATAAGAAAACAAAACACGTGACTCTATCTGAAAATGGGCCCAATCACAAGTATCTCTTCTGTACTTTTCCCTACAAATTATGAAATTCTCAATTCAAAATTAGTCAAACGTATTTCTACAAAAAATATAAAGTGTAAAACTATTCATTGTTTCAAGTATTTTTTCTTAGAGGAATCAAAACCTGTGATCGATGTTATGGATTATCTGAAAGATGGATAGATGATTTCCTACTACGTGCAATGCATATAAAATCTTGTTGACTATACTTGTGAAAGTATATAGCAAGTGTAGAAAAAATAAGAGGTTTCCCAAAACCGGTGCTTATAAAGACATCTCTATGATTAACCATGTACATAAAAAAAGGGTTGAATGATTAGATATGTTATCAATCAATTGAGAAGGAATTTACTAAAGTGCCTAGTTAAGTCGAATTGATTAATACTTTTGCATCTAAAATTGCTCGACAAGTTGTATTTAACTAGTTGTTTTAATGAACTCAGTATCGTTATTATAATGTAAGAATTTTATTTAAGTATTGACTTTTTGTGATATTGATCTTTTATTTTCAAATATGTTGTATTACACAAAACAGATATGGAGCACTACACATATGACCCTTTTATGAAGCTCCACCCAGACCCAAATTTATGTAGGATTTTGGCACTGATTTCATCGTCCAAAACATTACGCCATAGATTAATGCAGGCTAATTGTTATCCGATAAAACTCAACATTGAGTGTAGTCAACATACCTCATTATATATTATTATACGTATATGAAAAATTACTAAAAGGCCATCTTCGATGTCGGCTAATTCAATTCTAAAATCTACTTCAACCTTTCTAGTCTAATTCTAATTGAAAAAAATGTTCTAAATGGGACTAAAATATGACTAAAACTCCAAAATAGGACTTCAAGCTTTAAATTCCCTAAATGAGACTCCACATTACCTTTTTGTCCCTAGTCCCTAAATTACCTTTTCCCCAAATCCCTCTGCATCGATCGCCAGACCTACAACTCCCCTTGTGACTCAATCGCCATGGACGCAGCTCAACCTCCATCTCCAGCAAAATCAGGTCTTCTTCTTCTCCTCCTCCTCCTCCCCCCCCTCCCCCTCCCCTCCTCCTCCTCCTCCTCCTTCCTTCCTTCTTCTCCTCCTTCTCCTTCTCCTTCTCCTCCTTCTTGTTCTTCTTCTTCTCCTTCTGTAAATGTCATCTTTCTATTCCAAAATGCCAACACTGTTTTAACATCACAGTACACAAGATGTCATTTTTTAAAAATTGACATGATTATTTTTTATATGACATTTAAGGATAGCTTGAAAATGCCATGTTTTTTCATATGCAAATGACATTGATGGAGTAATAGGACTAGGCCCAGAGCCTAATCAGCCCAAGCCCCGAACTTGGACCCGTGGATCCAAGTCCACAACCTAGAGCCTGCCTGCCAACCCAGCGGGAAGCCTGCCAGTCCGACCGACCTCCCAGCCCGGAAGAGTAACGGTCAAGCAATTAATGCACTATTAATTATGTATTTAATTCTTTATTAATGTTGTAATTAGTTAGTCATTATTATCGGTAGCAGTTACGATTTGTATACGCCTATAAAAGGCGGCTTGTAATTCATATTAGAGAAGAAACTTCTATATGCTATTTCTGGCTAACTTTCCATATTCGTACTTTCCTAATTCTTGCTTGAGTGTCGTACGTAGCTTTCCTAAAAGCCTACGAGCGTCCTATTTTGGACCAACATTGGTGCTTTCATTGAGAGCCTCTATTGTTTCTCTCATCACTCTAGTAGGAATTTTCAGAAAAATGTGTGAAAATCGAAGGTTTCTAGCAGTTTTTTTCCAGGTTTGTAATCCAAAATATGGAAATATAATGAAAAAATATAGTCGGGTAGTGCAATGGCTATCTGGATCTAAGCCAGTGACCGGCGTCCACACAGGAGGTCCCGAAAGTTATCTGCCAAAAGAAACAAAATCAACAAAACTGGGATTTCAGAAACCGTCGATGATGTCAGCTATGTCTCAGTCACCGGAGATGGAATTTTAGAACTGGGGTTTTCCGGTGCTAAGTCGAAGATGTCCTCATCGTCCCGGTTTCCGCCACTCGCCAGCTCCCCACCCATTCTCGGGTCTGAGCCGAAACTGCCTCGCACCGTCCGCTGCAGGTCGCTCCGCCATCTTTGTCATACCGCTGTTGGCGTCGCACCTGGTCTCCTTTGCGGCTCGATGGTAAGAACTTGAATCATGATGAGGATTGACCTTAAGCATCCGCCATTAATGGATCCTAAGATCTCCAGGAGTGACATATCGTGGACAAGTGCACCCCTGTGGAGATGGAACTCCCATGTCTGTCTGTCGCCGCCTGAGAAACCTTCGCCGGTGTTGCCCGAGTCCTAGCGAACTCGCCCCTCGTTGATTTCGCCCAGCCGCTGGTGGCCTGGTGCTGCCTGATGAAGATTTGTTGTCTCCGGCCTCAGTCGATGCAGTGTTGCGCCCTTAATGATTGAGGCTCCAAAGGGTAAGCTATAGTAGTTGTATGCTACTGCCCACTCGCCAAACGTGAGAGCCGCCAAAGGCTAGGTCAAAAATTGTTAGTGGAGCTACCCAACTGCTATTTCTTTATCAGCCAACGCAGGCACACAACCCATTCAGTGTTGAGCCCAATTCAAAAAAGCTAAGTATCCAAAAATCCACTATATTTTGATACAAAAAAAATATTACAAAAAAAACATAAATTGAATCATTTGAAAAGATATTTTAAGTGGTGTAATTGCTTTAACTCTTGTTGAGCGTGTGTAATTTTAACATTGAAAAATGGACTTATGAAATCCGATCACTCACGTACACCGGACGAGCACACACACTCGTACAATGGCCGAGCACACACACTCGCGCCACCGGGTCATGTCATATGGGTGTGGCGATTAATAAGCTCCAATATAAATGTTAATACCTCACACTCTTGACTTCTTACGGGTTCTTGTGTGCTTTTACCTCTTCCTAGTGCATCACACTCCGACCTCGGGGGACGAGTCATCCGTTCAAAAGTCTTTACTTGCGGGTTCGAACTACTAACCTCGGGCGGCAAGTTAAACTCTTTTTAGGGGCCTAGAGCCACGCTTTTCCGAGCAATTTTGTCACTTAATTGACGTTCACATTTCTCGAAGAGGTTGATATACTTTAGTTCTCTGGGGTTGGATTATCCGTTCGAGTGAGGAGTCCGCCTCACTTACTCGCGGATTCAATCTTTCTTTCGGAGACTGGGTTGAGGCCTAACTTGGGAACTTGATGTCACTCTTTTCAAGTAGTGAGTCCGACTCGCTTACATACTGAGCCGTGGTTTGACACCAGGCCAGATGCTCTATTCTACACTAGTTTCTTTTATGTGTAAGTACAACTGAATGAAGTGGGGGACTGAGGGTCTTACCGTCTTCAAGGAAGCTAATGACAAATCTGACGAGTCTGAGCTCAACGAGAAGAACAGTTCTAGCCATCCTATTCGCAGATGGCGACCATTACAATAAAGGCTGAGGATCTCACCTCTTGCTTCATCTTGGGGGCGTCAGATGTACTCTTTTTCCCTTCATTAGGATTTTTTTCCCATTGGGTTTTTTCCTAATGAAGGTTTTTAATGAGGCATCTCCCCAACATGGACAAGGGCGGGGATCTTCTAGTCTCGGAGAAGAGCAACTGACTTGGACTACTCCCTCTTAGCCGAGTCTACTACTCGACTAAGGGAGTGGGGGACTCGTGATGGAGTAATAGTACTAGGCCCAGAGCCTAATCAGCCCAAGCCCCGAACTTGGACCCGTGGATCCAAGTCCACAACCTAGAGCCTGCCTGCCAACCCAGCGGGAAGCCTGCCAGTCCGACCGACCTCCCAGCCCGGAAGAGTAACGGTCAAGCAATTAATGCACTATTAATTATGTATTTAATTCTTTATTAATGTTGTAATTAGTTAGTCATTATTATCAGTAGCAGTTACGATTTGTATACGCCTATAAAAGGCGGCTTGTAATTCATATTAGAGAAGAAACTTCTATATGCTATTTCTGGCTAACTTTCCATATTCGTACTTTCCTAATTCTTGCTTGAGTGTCGTACGTAGCTTTCCTAAAAGCCTACGAGCGTCCTATTTTGGACCAACAGACATGTTTTAAGAATGCCACTTAATATGCATTATGACACAATAATGACAATTTCGTATAGAAACATGACATTCTCAATATGACATTTTCAAATATTGTAATGACATAAAAGTGACATTTAGTAAAAATACCCAATAATTATGATATTCTCTTATTCAAAAAGTGACATTTTCCGGAATCATTAGTCATAACATTTTGAGATTCAGGGTAATCAAAATTGTCAACAAGAAATTCAAGAAGAAGAAGAAGAAATTCATAAAATAGGAATTATGGTCCTATTTTGTGATTTTGCTGGAGGGAGAGGTCCTGCACTAACGATTGACGGTGGTTGGTGCCTCACCGGAGGGCGGCGGCCAGAGGGCGGCGACTGGAGGTTGTGGTCTGATTGGACGGTGGTGATGGTTCTATTGCTGGATGGTGGTAGCATCAATAGCGAAGCGATGAAGGCTAGTGTGACTCGCTGGTGTGCATCAGTAGCGCGACAGAACAATAAGTCTTTTTAGTTAACGACAATTTTGTCTGATTACCTCATTTTAGTCCTATTTTTGTCAAATAAACATATTAGTCATATTTTTGCAATTATACCTAGTTTTAGTCCTATTTAGATAAATCTCTCATTCATTTTAATTACTATACATTTCACCTCGTAAAACAAAAAATTGGGAGCTTAAAAAATAAAATTGACCGATTCTAAACCAAAAATAGATCTTCTTTGGATATCTACAAAAATAGAGTACACCACATTCTTTTGGCATCAATTCAATGAGATGTAAAGTGCCAACAAAATAAAGCAATCGTGTGTATATATCCGCAAAACTCGCGGCTCCCTTGTAGCCCGATTTCCTGAAACCGCACATATAAATATTCCTTCCATCTCAGCCTTTATTTTATTAGTAATATATTTGCAGAAATATTTCAAGTTTCAATAAACTATTCACTGATTTGTTTTATATAACCGAGGAGGATTGGTGATGGCTGAGCACCAGTGCGGAAGAGATCACCACCACATGAGGTTGTGCTCCTTGTCGTCGGCCATCGACGGCGCCGGCGAGATCATTCTGTTCGGCGTCAGAGTGAAAGTAGACCCTCTCAGGAAGAGCGCTAGTCTGAATAACTTGTCTCAGTATGTTGTACATCCGAATGATCACAGCAAGATTATCGAATCCACCAAACACCCGGCGACTGCTCTTGCGGATGAGGGATATGCGTCGGCTGACGACGCTGTCCTCCTCAATCAGCCTACCGGCGGCCGTGAGCGTAAGCGAGGTCCGATTTCTCTCCACCTTTTTTTCGAGTTATCAGATTGAGAATTAATTGCATAACGTATTGATAAGTTTAAAGTGATGCATAAATCATTTGATTCATTTCCATCAAAATCTTCAGTTTGTAGGTAGATGTAGCTCTTAATTATTTGCATCCGAATTTTATCATCTGCTGAATTATATATAATCTCATAGAGTTACTTTGAACATGTCAATTAAAAATTGAAAAAATTGGCTACCAGTTTCCGGATTGTGGATCATTTGGCCTTCAATTGGTTTCCGGTCTCCAGCTTTTGGATTATTTGGACTTTGGAAAAAAAAATCCACTTTCCAGACTGTGGATTATTTGGACTTTTTAAAAAATGTTTCCACTTTCCAGCTTGTGGATTATCTGGACTTTAAAAACTTGTTTCCACTTTCCAACTTGTGGATTGTTGTTGGACTTTTGAAAAATTGATTCCACTTTACAGCTTGTGGATTATTTGGGAAATAAGAAATTCCTTTGTCCTGGAAAAACGAAAACGATTTATAGAGTATTATTTTTCTTTATGCTGATCAAAGGCTTCTTTTATCAGGAGTTCCATGGACCGAGGAAGAACACAAACTGTTTCTATTAGGTTTGCAGAAGGTTGGGAAGGGAGATTGGAGAGGAATCTCTAGAAACTTCGTCAAGACTCGAACCCCCACTCAAGTGGCAAGTCATGCGCAGAAGTATTTCCTCCGTCGGAGCAACCTCAACCGCCGACGTAGACGCAGATCTAGCCTCTTTGACATCACTACGGATTCGGTAATTAATTCAACAACAAAACTTTCCACATTAACTATTCCGTAGCAAAAGAAAGTAGTGTATGATCATTTATTAGCTAGAATGTTATACTCCGTAATTATTACTCTTGGGGTCCTACCAAAACTACCGATTTCAGTTGATTGAAATGGGCCAAATGGCAATAACATTAAATTCCAGGTTCGAGAAACATTGTAAACCACAAAACTTCTGTTCTTAAACCAGATGAGCAATAATATGTTTGGGACAAACGACACTTATTTGGTGTTGTGTGTTTATTATGAACCGTTTCAGAGTGTAGTGGTTTGTGAGAAACCAATATGTGTTCAAACAATATCTTAATAGTACATAGCAGTAGTATTTGATACTGTTAAGATATGAAGTATCAAATATCTTAATAGTATATTTTTATACTATTTGATCTCATTTGGTGTATTTAACATAAAGACTTGACGTTCCATTTTAGTAGAAACCAAATATCGTAATAGTATATTTTTATATTTGCCAGTGTTCAAACAATACTTGATATGTGGTGTATGACGGTTTTAACATTTGTACCATCTTGTGATAAGCAGGTTACCCCGATGTTAACCGAAGAGCAAGAATCTCTTACAGAAAACTCAACCCCGGGAGCTCCATCACCCAATCCATTGCCTATTTCAGAAGTATCCCAAAACAGTCCATTTGCATTTGCCAATGCACCTGAGCAAATCAGTTATAGTTTGCAACCAATCCAAGTCGAGGAAAAGCCAATACAAAATCTTATCACTACACGAACTGATGAGCACAATGATCAATCCACCACCCACATTGTCATTAACTTGAATGAGAGTGTGGAGATGGAGCCTTCATCATTGTCCTTGAGTTTGTCATTGCCCTTTGATCAAACACAAAGTTATTCTTCCAGGCACCATATATATCCCGCGGTGTCCAGTTTGAATAGCGGAGATTCCATCATTGCGGTGGCATGACAAGGGAACTCTCGAAAAGAGAACAATACATAGAGTGGTTCCGTTATGAAACACGGAGCATGCAGTAATTTGGTCGAGTCGAACATAAATGTTCTTATGGAAATTTGGATTTTCCATTGCATGTTTACTTCAAAATTAGATCTTTGCACCCCCATGTTTTGTTTTATTTGACTTTGCACCCTGGATTACCCAAAAGTGGGGTGCAAAATCAAATATTAGTATGTATAAAATAATGAAGTGCAAAGTCTATGGTCAGTGTGTTTGATCTACCAGTCTGGTATCAGAGGTGGGGGGTACTGTTAGAGATTTGCAATTCTATACTGGTGAAATGAATTGCGACTCGTTCTTGTGTTTTGGCCTGATCCCTTTATAGTGCGCCTATATTCGTATCAAATAATCGGAATTAATATATTCGTAGATTCCTTTGGGTAATTATCTGGTAGAATTATATTTATTTATATTATACTCCCTCCATCCCGTTGGAATGTTCCCGCTTTCCTTTTTGGATGTCCCATTGGAAAGTTTCCATTTCCCTAAATGCAAAGTTATCATACATCAAAACAGGGTCAAACAGTGCAAAACAATGTCAAACAGTGTCGAAACAGTGCCAAACAGTGTCGAAACAGTGTCAAAACAGTAAAATTTACCCCCTGATAAGTTTATTTCCTTAATATGTGTGTTGGTCCAAAACAGGACGCTCGTAGGCTTGTAGGAAAGCTACGTACGACACTCAAGCACGAATCAAGAAAGTAATATGAATAAGGAAAGTCGCAAAGGGAATTTGGTAGCCAGAAATAGCTTCTAGAATTTGTCTCCCCTAATCTTAATTACAATCCGCCTTTTATAGGCGTATACAAATCATAACCGTTACTGATAGTAATGATTAATTAATTACAACATTAATACGGAATTAAATACATAATTAATAGCGCATTAGTTGCTTGACCGTTACTCTTCCGGGCTGGGAGGTCGGCCGGGCTGGCAGGCTCCCCGCTGGACTGGCAGGCAGGCTCCAGGTTGTGGACTTGGATCCATGGGTCCAAGTTCGGGGCTTGGGCTGATTAAGCTCTGGGCCTAGTCCCATTACTCCATCACGAGTCCCCCACTCCCTTAGTCGAGTAGTAGACTCGGCTAAGAGGGAGTAGTCCAAGTCAGTTGCTCTTCTCCGAGACTAGAAGATTCTCGCCCTTATCCATGTTGGGGAGATGCCTCATTAAAAACCTTCATTAGGAAAAAACTCAATGGGAAAAAATCCTGATAAAGGGAAAAAGAGTACATCTTACGTCCTCAAGATGAAGCAAGAGGTGAGATCTTCAGCCTTTATTGCAATGGTCACCATCTGCGAATAGGATGGCTAGAACTGTTCTTCTCGTCGGACTCAGACTCGTCAGGTTTGTCATTTGCTTCCTTGAAGATGGCAAGACCCTCAGTCCCCCACTTCATTCAGTTGTACCTACACATAAAAGAAACTAGTGTAGAATAGAACATCTGGCCTGTTGTCAAACCACGGCTCAGTGTGTAAGTGAGTCAGACTCACTAGTTGAAAAGAGTGACATCAAGTTCCCAAGTTAGGCCTCAACCCAGTCTGAGAAAGAAAGATTGAGTCCGCGAGTAAGTGAGTCGGACTCCTCACTCGAATGGATAATCTAACCCCAAAGAACTAAAGTAATCAACCTTTTCGAGAAATGTGAATGTCAATTAAGTGACAAAATTGTTCGGAAGAGCGTGGCTCTAGGCCCCTAACAAGAGTTTAACTCGCCGCCCGAGGTTAGTAGTTCGAACCCGCAAGTAAAAACTTTTGAACGGGTGACTCGTCCCCTGAGGTCGGAGTGTGATGCACTATGAAGGGGTAAGAGCACACGAGAACTCGTATGAAGTCAAGTGTGTGCGGTATTAAATTAACATTTATATTGGAGCTTATTAATCGTCACACTCGTATGACGTGACCCAGTGGCGCGAGTGTGTGTGCTCGGTCGATGTACGAGTGTGTGTGCTCGCCTGGTGTACGCGAGTGATCGAATGCCATAAGTCCGTATAAAATGTTAAAATTACTCACACTTAACAAGAGTAAAAGCAATTATACCACTTAATTTTTTTCCTCTTCAAGTGTTTCAATTTATGATTTTTTTTAAATAAAAATTTGGAAAGCGAGCACTTAGCTTTTGGAATGGGCTAAAGCTTGGGTGTGTTGCAGAAATTGCAGCCCACTAAGAGTTCCATTGGGGCTAAAATGTGGCCTGTCTCACTAAGAACTTTAATTCTTATACACCCAGGTGACCCTCCCATCATTGGAGATGCCCCAGCCGACCAGTCCGTTCACAGCAGCCGCCAGAAATGGAGGCGAGTGGGAGAGGCAATTGACGATGGAGTTGCTGGTGACGGCCGATGGAGGCCACAACTGCGGGTTTTGTTCGGTCAACAGCTACAGAGCACTGGGAGATTAATTTCAGGCCTAGGTGAAACCTGAGTCCGGCCATGACATTTAGGCGTCGCCATGTACCTGATGGAAGGCAACCAACCTGCGTGGTTCTCCGGCCTCAAGTATGCCATCAGCCCTGCCCACGACGGTTTCCAAATTGAGGTGGCCGCCACTTCGATGCGGCTGACGAAGCACGCTATCATAGCGCAGGTGAGATTCAAAACGGCGACCAGGGGACCTGGAACGACGCGGAGAATTCCAGGTCGTGCGCTAAGGTGAGCGGGCTTTACAATGTCCACGGCTGCTCCGGTTGACAGATTCTACCAAATTTCGGACTGCACAAGGAATTGAAAAAATTCCAGATTTCTTTATTTCTTTTCTTCCACACCTCCATTGATTTTTTCATTCTTTTTCCAGGTTTTGATATACAAGCCTGAAAAATGCTAGAAACCTTCAATATTTGTCCATTTTTTCTCAAATTCCTTGGTCAATTGCTACTAAAGTGTTGTGAGAGAAAATAGAGACTCTCAATGAAAGCACCAATGTTGGTCCAAAATAGGACGCTCGTAGGCTTTTAGGAAAGCTACGTACGACACTCAAGCAGGAATCAAGAAAGTAATATGAATAAGGAAAGTCGCAAAGGGAATTTGGTAGCCACAAATAGCTTCTAGAATTTGTCTCCCCTAATCTGAATTACAACCCGCCTTTTATAGGCGTATAAAAATCATAACCGTCACCGATAATAATGACTAATTAATTACAACATTAATACAGAATTAAATACATAACTAATAGCGCATTAGTTGCTTGACCGTTACTCTTCCAGGCTGGGAGGTCGGCCGGACTGGCAGGCTCCCCGCTGGGCTGGCAGGCAGGCTCCAGGTTGTGGACTTGGATCCATGGGTCCAAGTTTGGGGCTTGGGCTGATTAAGCTCTGGGCCTAGTCTCATTACTCCATCAATGTGTGTAGGTCAAACCGAGAACATTCTAACGGACTGACGGAGTATTACAATTGGTTTGGTAAGGACCTAAGAAGAATCTAAGACATTTTACGTGCCATCTTCAATATAAGGTGGACCCGACATAGGTCCTGTCCGGCTTCATTTGTGGACCGATTATGTACCAATCTTTACCAGCAATATAAAAGAGAATAAGCGTATAATAATATGGGAAATAATTATCATATGTGGACCGTTTATTGATACAGTTCTTGACCAGCAAAATACAAGAGTATAATCATATATCTATTTGCACAAATATCCTGTCCGACCACCTCAATTTGAGTGATTCTCGGTGTTATTTTTTGCTGAAATTTTGTGTGTATATTCCATTGTTCCTCATCAAGTCTATTTCATTTTTATCAAATTTGAGAAAACAAATTCAATCGAGAAGGCCGTCAAATGATTTTTGAAAGATAATTGCATTTTATATGTATATCGGAAATTATCTTTGACCTCCCTTACGGTTTGATGTATTATCAATCACATTCCTATATTATCAAAACTATACTCTTGCCCCCCTCCCTATCCTTTAATGATGGTTAAATTACTTTTAATCTATATTTACAGAAAATTATAGATACAATTTCATAATTTTTCGTTATGTCCGCTTTTAATACTATAATTTTATTCAATCACAAATCTGGTTGGATAATTAATAAATTTGTCCATAATAAAGACCGTTTTATCTGAAGTCGAACAAAATAAAAAATGAACAAAGCTGACCTCACTCTTGGTAGTTCATTTTATGCATTTGAATTTGTAAAGTGAGTAAATTGACTCAATTGAAAATGATCAAAATATGCTAAATTTGTCAAAAATTGAAATAAAACAACTTAAATGAACCAAATCGACTCAAAAGTGAAGTTTACTAGTCGATTTTACCATAAAAAATTGAATGCAAGAAAGTTCCCAATTTGCACTCTAGATACTCTTTGTTATCAACGGAAATGAGACCACTACAAGTTTTTTTTTTAACCTCCGGAAGGTAAACCATCAAAATCAGTGAGGTAAATGTTATGAAACATTTACCGGATTTTATTAAAAAAGCAGTAAAAATACAAACCCCGGGGGGGCTAAACCTAACCCGAGGAAAGAGAAACAGTACAAGCCGATGAATAAAATACAAACAATTAAATAAGCCAACGAATAAAAGGAATATGGAACATATCAAAGTGGAATTCGATACGAACTGGGCTGGGTAATGAATTAACCGTCGTCCAAGAAGTAAAGTGGACCGGATATGTAGCTGCAAGGAAATGGGCCGTTCGGTTTCCTTCTCTGAAAGTATGTCGGAAATGGACCCCTTCCTAAAACACAATTGCCTTAAATCAACAAGGTCTATACTCCAAGCATCGTTGTTGCATCTACCTGAGATAAGGTCCAGTACGGCCTCCGCATCCATCTCAACAAGAAAATCCCGGAAACCTGCCTCCATCGCCCATTTGGTTGCTTTCGTTACAGCACGTAACTCAGCTTCCAAGGATGAGGAAGCAGAAATCGGAAAGACTAAAGCACAAACCAGTTCACCAGATTCATTTCGTAAAATCGCACCTCCTGAGGCTGAGCCAGGTATATACGCAGCATCGATGTTTAATTTCATCCCTGTCTTCGGTTTTTCCAGCATATTGGTTTAACAAGTTGCTGCTTAAGTTTAAATCCATTAGGAACTAAATGCTCTTCAAATAAAACCGAATCAACCTTACCCAGCCTTTGAGAAGATAAGCTTATAGCCCAATTTTGAGTGAAGAGCTTGATATTCCAGATTATATGACTAACATTAGGGGCAGCCGAACTAGATCCCCAAAGTATGTTAGTATAAATCTTCCAGATATTCCAACACATAATCCCTGGAAGATTGATCTTGAATAAATCAATAGCATTCTTACTACCAGCCTCAAGCCACCAAACCAAGAAAATGCTTCGAATAAATAGACAATGAGTTGGCATAGGGATAGTGAGAATCTGAGCAAAATAAGACCAAATTGCCATAGAAAACTCACATGTCAAAAATATATGAATAATAGAATCCTCATGTTTCC